TCTGAGCTTCCTAGCTCCTTCTACCAATATTTATCGAACCAATAAGTCAGTTTCTTTACCTTTTGGGACGCCTACACAATCTTGTTTCCCTTCGAGCCTCGGCAGATGTTCCTACAGCAAATCGCATGTCAGCACCTCCCATTGCTCATAGTTCTGTGTCTGGGTCTTACCACACGCTATAATTAACTCTCAGTTCAGTCCCATAATAAAGCTAACAAAATATCTCAAAAAGCAACACTGCTGTTCTTAAACAACACAAAAACAAAATAACTGAACCCTTGGTTAGGGTTAAGGTCAGAGTTCACCGTTCAATTATCAGAAAGAGAAAACAGGCAAGTAATGGAAATATGGGAGAGGTAAAAGTTAAAACCTCTGCTGAATAAGGTTGTGAATCGAAAACCGGTTCTTGCTGAGAACCAGTTCCCATTGTTTCAATTCCTAGGAATCGTTCAGCACTTTGCAAACGATTCCCCTTCTCAATTCCAGTTGGCGCGAATTACATCACCCTGCCTGTTGCGTACCTTACGAAAGCAGGAAACATGGCGTCTAAGGGAACAAACGCTCGTAAGTTTGGTTATATTTTACAAGAAAGCAAGACAACAGGGTAACTTGCAATAATTGCAAAGTAGATATTTTATCAAGGGAAGGAAAAGGCATTTGGGCACAAACTACGCTTAAACGTAAAGTTAATGGCGTGTTTTGACCCGCTCCGAACAAGTGAATTTCAACGCAGCAGCAGTGGTGACGTTCGCACGTCCTCTCCTGTTAATCCTGCAGGTACCTAAACAACTAACACTTCCCATCATGTTAGCTTCATTTACCTTCTCTTTACACCTCCACACTAGCAGACTCCAGCGGCTAAAGTCTGACCTGTGGTGAGATTTTTCCCGCTCTACAAAAGCTACAGAAACACTGCACCGACCAGGAAGATGACTCTGCCTTCACAGGGAGCACAAAGGAGAACATTTGGAAAGATCTTTCCAACCGATACAGGTACAACTGATTATTTATCACAAATAAACCAACAGCTATAATGCAGGAAGCCGTGTGCAATTAGTTTTTTGTCACCTATTGAACTACTCTGGAATTGATAAGGAATTGGATCGATAGACTGAACCGACAATGCCGTTGACATTGATAAAAACTTATCAATTCCCACCCCTACTGCTGACCAAAAAGAAGATGAGGTCCTATCTCACATAAACACCTAGATGATCCACAAGACTCCTGGGAATTTATTCTGTGTACTGAGAAGCTAAAAACGTAACTTTCTGGTACGTGTGAAGTGAAAATACCACTGGTTTAGTTTTGTCCAGTCAGACACGGTGGTGGTGGTGTGATGGTTCAGGTCGGCTTTACCGCTTCACGACCATTTCTTGTAATTAATGGAAACAGGAATTCTGTTCTCTAGTAAAAAAAAAAAAAAACTGACCTTAAGCAGACTGGAAAACCCTTTTCTGGCTGATTTTACACAATTCTGTAAGGGAAAGTTGAATGATATTCCTCCACATAGACGTGAGCGACACATCATCACAAATGCTTGATTACGGTTTGTAACTTTAAGGTTGAATTACTTCTCCACCTAAGACCAGGCCGGTTTGGATGAACTTTTCCCGTAATAAATAAAATAATCAGTTTGACACTGACATCAGTTGATCAGAAACATTTAAGTGTGATTAAAAAAGATGGACAGACAAGAATCTGAAACAAGGGGAGCACCGTCTGTGCAGGTGTGTCAAAACGCTTCTGTGTCTGTTCGTCTTTCTGCAGATATTCCCAGATGTCAACACCTTAGAGAGGACCTGAGGGCCACATTCATTTCCCAAGTTCGAAAACATTTAATGTGTTGTAGCTGTTGTCAGGAGGGACCCTAAAAAGGTGACAAAAGCTTCAGAGAACCACCCTTTGTACCGTCTTTTCACACCTTGCTTGGTCAGAAATTCTCATATGTTCTGTTAAAGGTACACTGGACACAATGCTTCCCCGTGAGGCGCTGTAAGGAGTAGCTACATGTAGGAGTAGTGCATTTCCAGTCATGCAGTAGACGTGAAGTGCATGTCAGTGGAACACATCAGGGTCACACGCAGTCAAAAGTGCAACAGACTTGAACTCTCCTTTCCATGACACTTTTCTCCTTCACACACCCTTCTTTAGAAAATGTTGAATTACAGTAACACTAGCTAGTTATTTTAACTTTCAGCTAGAGCTTTAATATTGATCTCAGTGATTGTTGAGATAGAAACTTGACCAGTTTCATGTTTGACACCACTCCGCAGCCTTCTGCTGACCAAAAAAAATGTGCTAGATAGTTTTGTGGAGCGGGTAGGTGTACTAGGGGGCACTCTTTACCTGCTTTGCGGCTATTAGCTGTAATGCTAGCGGTTAGCATTTTCCATTTGCCGATCGTCAATAAAAAGCACAAGAAGAAGAAAAAGATGAAGTTTCCTTTTTCTGTTGGCATCATGGAAATAAAGGTAAGAGCATAATGTCTTTGGAGGTGAAGCAAAGAGCTAAAACCGGAGTGAACGCTGGCGCAGCCCACACTAAGGCGGCTAAAGGAGGCTACAAAAATCACGGACTGATGGTGACCTGGCTTTGTTTCTACTGGACCTGTAAGTAATAATATTGTTTAGTTGGCTTATATTACTGTTAGCTTGTTTGAACTAGCTGCAGCAGGCTGCAACAGGGTAGTAATTCCACTTGCAACCAGTAGAGTGAAGTAGCAGGAAACTGCTCTGTGTTACTTTAACACTGACAGAAACTTTAGCTTTAGTAGATCAGGTGTATAAAATGACAGCTTTAACATGAAAACTGTGGAAAACCTCACAAACCCACCTACAGACGTATTTGGTCACGGACGCATCATCAGGACATAAATTCCCACTTTTATCCACAAACGATGGTGTATTAAAGCTGTGGATCATTTATGTATTTACAAGCTGAATAACAAACGCCAGAGGTTCTGAGGGCTTTCAGCATTGGTGTGAGCTTAAATCCACTTGAGCAGATGTTTTCAGCAGCTGGACAGGCAACAGTGGACTGAGCGAACACGCCTCACAGCTGATCTGGAGACTTGATGTGTCTAATTTGGTTTGATAGCATTACTGTTGGCTAAAATGTGCTGGCGTTGAAGTGAACCACATAAAAAAGAGGTTAGTTTCTGTTTGAAGCTCTGGACCTGTTGAGCTGCTACTCACACTAAATCCTCCAATCAGGTCTGTAAATTGGGTCTAATTATTAACAACAGCTTCCTGAGAGCTGAAACACGTTTTTACAGACTGGATCTTTTTCTTCTTTTGTTCATTTCACTGTAAGCTTTAAACACTTTACTGTTATTTTCTTGTGTTTAATCTAAAATCTGGGAACGTAATTGAACTAACAGAAATTATTGAGTGCAGGTCAATAGGATGGGATGAAAGAAGTGCAACAATTTTCAGATAAATGCAAAACGGAGACTGGAAAAAACATGTTCACTTAAAACCAAACAGCATTTATTTAATTTAGTCTAACATCTTGACATTCACTTTTGAAATATTTACTCAAATTACTATTACATCTACAGACTTGTTGACACTTATCATCGTGTGCTGTTTCAAGTATTTCCTTATTTTCAGCAGTTTTCTTCAAGATTTTATAAAATAAAACAGATAAATTGTTTGTGGCTTTTAAGTCAATGTCTTTTTAGCACATAAGAGATGTTATAAAACTGTTTTCTTCTGATTTAATCCCTCGTTTACACTTTTACCTGGCAACAGGATTAGCTGTTAATACATTTAAACACTTATTTGGTATATTTAGGCTCCTAATTAGGATTTCTGCTTTCACTGAAATTATTGTTGGTTTATTAAAAAGACTATTTCGAGGGTATTTTTCTGGGGTTTTCTCACCAAAGCTGCAGGAAGAAACTATTTTTACAGCATAAACTGACTTTTTGGCATCAGGAATAAATATATATCCTTCTCTCCTTGTTCTCAGATGGCATTTCTTTTGTTCCCACTCAGCTTCGTGAGCACGTCAGAGAATCTGACAAAATATATTACTGGTGCACATAGTTTCTTCTGAAGCGTATTTTGGGTTTAGATGAGATTCAGAAGGGAGGCATGTGGGGAAGCATACTGAGGTCATACAGGACCTGGTCTGGTCCCTGCTGGAAGTGGTTTTACTATAGCGGTCCTGTCAGTCAGAGGTGGTTTCAGGAAAGGACAGGGAGCAGGGCGGGGGGGGGGGGGGGGGGGGGGATGGACACACACCTGGAGAAGGAGCACCCGCTGAACGAGTGTTCCCTCCAGTCAATCTCAGCCCACAAAGCTGTTCCAGTGATGCAGGATATCTCCAGAGGCCTGCAGGGTGGAAGTGGGTGAAGGAGGGCCTGATGTCACACTCGCCACGCTGAGGGTGGACCTCGCCAATTAATCACACATCAAACGATGACTTGAAAAACTCCAACTGAATTTCAAGGAGCTCTGAACTGGTGTAAATAAAACCAGCATCACTGGCACCCTTTGGAAGGTGTTAATCCCTGACTAATGAACTCCTTCAATGCCAGTAGCTTCCCTGTTGCAACTGTGGACATCTCCACCTGTGAGTGTGTTAGAGTGTGTGTGAGTGTGTTAGTGTGTGCGTGTTAGTGTGCGTGTCGGGGGATTCAGAAAGAGTGGGACAGGCTCCAGTCCCCCGTCCCTCAGCCTGACAGGCAGAACTCAGCCACACAATTTCACAGTCTGTGGGCAGTACACACCACTGCCTTCCCATCCCTGAGACCCACAGACTTCCATAGAGCAGGGATGTGTGTGTGCATAGAACACACACACACACACACACACACACACACACACACACACACACACACACACACACACACACACACACACACACACACACACACACACACACACGCGCGCGCGCGCGCGCGGTCGGCTATTAACAGTTTAGAAAAGAACAAATCAAATATTCATCCTTCACCATCCACCTGGAATTGAAAAAAAGAAGTGTGGACTTACCATTTTGTTATTGATTTCATGAAAATGAATTTCACAGACTTTCTCTACGATGTCTTCACTCTCAAAAGTTATGAAACCAAATCCTGCGCAGAGACAAACAGAAGGAGAGAAAGTGGAGAAGAATGAGTTAGCGGAGGTGCTCGAACAAAACTTCAGTGGGCAAAAAGAAAACGAGTATGCAGCGGATCCAGAAACTGCTCTGAGAACATGTGTGGAGATTGGAGAGAGAACAAGAGAACGAGGCAGGCATTGTCCTCCTTAAATCAGGGATATGATGAAATCTGCCACATTATTAAGGGCACTCAAGGACCTCCTCTACAAAGAGAAGATGGGAAAACAGCACAAAGCTCATTTAATGAGATCCAGGGAGCTCAGGACCTGCATCTGAATTTCATTAAATGCATTTTGTGTTATTTTTATTGAAATCTGACTGTATAACAAGCCCCCATTTTCATGTTAATGCAGGCCTTAGAATGAACCCATGGTTGACAGAGGGATTTTCATGCCATATTTATGGGATGAAAGCTTAACCCCTCTTTTTAACACAAAGACAAAGAGACAAGGTGGTTTTAGACTTCTGAACACAAGTGGATTGTGATGCTCTCCTCTGTGTTTTGATGGCCGTACACAAAGCAATCTAGCTTCTGTACAGCTGCCGCTGAAAGAAAACACATATTCCATTACTTTAACAAAGTGAAACTCTTAGTGAATAGAATAAGTCGAGAGGCTGAAGGGACACGAGCCGCTCTTTAAAACGGCAAACACCCAAAACAGAAGAGACTCATCTCTGCCTGAGTGTAAACAACCCTCTGTGTATAAACACACTCACACACACCTGAGTCACGTGTTCCCCACGAGAGATCCGGCTGTATTTACTACACTAAGGTACACTTCGATATCTGCAACTATTAGGTCATCGCAGGCAAAGCTGAAAATCAATGAGCACAACTGCTTTCTGCTAGTATCGAATTTACAGGCTCAGAATGTGATTAAACACCTTTATTGTGTGATATTTAATACAATAAACCAATTCCTACGCTGTTAGTTTAAATACAGCCAGACTGGCCTCAGAACAGAGGAATATCAATAAGTCACATAAGAAACACAAACACAGGGTGTTCCTCTTGTTTGGTGAATATCTAGAAGCTTTATATTAAATATGTAATTCAGTGAGTTTCACAAACTAAAACTCCTGTAGAAAGCTCATGAACAGCCTTAACTTAAAGAAATAGCAATGAGTTCTTACTGTATTGAAAAGGGCCGGGAGAAGATAGACAGTTTGAGAGAGGAGTAAGGGAAGCCATCGATGCCCCACAATTCCCACACAATAGAGACTAACAACTCTGACGACTCATCAGGAGGTAGGGAGGAGAGGCATGCATAGGTAGTTTCTGCTCGTTAGGCAACAATAGACAGCAACAGTTTATAAGCTTGACTCTCCCATATTCCAGTTAGAATTGACAAAGCTCCTCAGATGAGAAGAGAAGCGTCTTCAAGAAACCAAAGACGCCCATTTGTCTTCATTTGAGCCCTTTTGGATAGCCGGGAGTAAAGATGCCTTAAAAAAACAATCTAAAAAAAATCACGACAGCTCATTCAAACTTTATTTTAACTTGGCCAGACTATGAAAAAGAAGAGACTGAATGTGGGATACACACATGCTCATCTAATTCGATCTAGGTTGATCTAAAGTAATAAACTGGAAGCCTTTGTCTTAGTTTACATGTACGTTAGAAAACTGGACTCTCAAATCAAGTTCCTTCCACTCCGGTAGGTGGCGAAATGCACCTTTTTGTGCCAGCATGCTTCCGGTTAGCCTATGGCAACACAAATAATAAACAAATGCTAGCGGAGAGTGAAGCAGACAGGATGTGCACACTGGCTGAAGGAGTGGACAACAACGCTGCATCACTGCTTATTTGGTAGGTACTATACCGTTTGATGGTGTTACACGTGTTACTTTGTGGCGATGGTATTATCAGAAGACCGCTTCCATGGTCACGTCACTTCCTGAAGTCACCGGTATCAGCTTGACTGACCCGTTTGCATACAGATTAAGTCAGTTTCCTAGTCAGTTAGCGCTGCAGAACACTGAATAAAACAGAGAAAAGCCGCTACAGAGGTGTAGAGGTGTCTAGACATACAGTGTGCTTTGAGGAGTGATGATACTTAAGCTGTTTTTACAGGACCACAGCATTTTCAAAACGGGATTTGCCACGGCTCCCTGGGGGGGATAAAGGTCATTTATAAGATCAGACCGTGGCGGTAATGTGGCGCAATCATGGCAATTTTATAAAAGATTAGGTGATGGCGGCATAAAGCGGGTATGGGGGCGGTCTCTGCACTGCCAAAGACTTCAGTTTATCTTGGACATAACTTGCTTTTAATGAGACTGAAGTCGTGATCGTTAAGCTTTTTTTAACAAGCAGCTCCTAAAGGTGTCTGTCCCCATCAGTTCCTGTGCAGTCTCTGGAGATCTGAGCTTCAGCTCTAACAGAGAGGCTCGTGGAGCGCTGCGGCGCTCCAGTTTACCATCTCCACTGATTTTGTTCAAAAAGCAAACCTTATTGTCTGTGTTTACTTTCATTTTCAATAAATTTGTCAGCCGGAGCTCAGCAATAACTCCCCACGTCATCATGACATCTGCCTCTATTGCGCCAGGGTGCATACGACAGACCATTACTGCAATATTACTACCAAGCCAAGCGGAACGAATGCCGCAATATTCGCGCAATGCCATGCCGGCATGGCACATTTATAGACATACCATTGCGGTAATATTACGCCGATTTGCTGGCATGGTGTGTCTTATAAAAGCACCTATAGAAATAGAACCATTTGTAGGGATATCACTGGACTCTGCACCAGAGCATAATGGGATATTTAACCTTCAGAAGTGATGGAAACGTGTCACTTGAAAGGTAAAAACAAGCACGCTTGTAATCTGATACATGAGAAAAGCATCTTAAGTGATTTTGTTTATTTTATTGTATAAATTAGATTAACCTCATCCTCTTTGTTCATTTATAGCCATACCATACCATAGTTTATTTATATAGCACATTTAAAACGCAGCATGGGAGCTGCCCAAAGTGCTGCACAGGCTAAAACAAAACACGACCAATCTAAGGAACTAAAACAGAAGATAAAAATACCAGTCAAAAGCAGATAAAACATGAGGAATACCAAGAACGCATTAAAACAATAACAATAAAACACTAAAACGAGTCACTGTCTAAAAGCCAAATCGTAAAAGTGGGTCTTTAAACGAGATTTATACACCGCCAGTGATGGAGCCTGCCGAACTCCAATGGGCAACGAGTTCCACAGCTTTGGGGCAGCATGCACAAATGCTCGTTCACCCCGCGATTTGTATCGCATCCGTACAGCAGCAGGAGGCCGACCTCAACGTGGGTACATAGGGAGTGAGCAGGTCAAAGAGATAGGGAGGTGCCAGGTCGTTGAGTGATTTAAATACAAAAGTCAATAACTTAAATTGTACTCTGAAAATGACAGGGAGCCAGTGAAGATGTACCAGGATAGGGGTAATAGGGGTAATATGGCTACGTCGGTGCGTATTTGTCAGGAACCTGTCATATGTCATTTGTCATTTACGAAGAACTTCCTACTTATTTAGAAGCACAGATAGCAGCAGTGGCTAGCTGTAGCAGCAGAATGGTCAGAAGGATGCATTCTCCCAGAAATATCAAATCAATATAAAACTTGTGATGCAAAAGGTTATAACCAGAGGTGTGACCAAGTCACTGTTTTGCAAGTCACAAGTAAGTCACACGTCTTTCCAGTCAAGTCCAAGTCAAAGACAATCAAGTCCAAGTCGAGTCCAAATGCAATGATGTGGAAGTCCAAGTCAAGTCCAAGTCCTTAGATTTGAATTTTCAAGTCAAAATCAAGTCATCTGTCCAACTTTAATGTGGTAACAATGATGATAAATAAATTCCAGAAATAAAGCTTCTTAAAGCTTCATTTATTTGCTCAAACAGCAGAAAGTTCAACTGAAACTGATTATAAACCAAGTGCTGCTGCATTTAGCAGTACAAGATCAAACCCAGAACGAAGAATGATTTATGATTTTTGTCCATGTCGTGCCACTTTTGTGCTAAAATATCAAATATGCTCAAGTCATCATCAAGTCAACAGATGCAAGTCGATTCAAGTCGCAAGTCATTGGCTTTCAAATCTGAGTCAAGTCGTATGTCTTTATAGATTTTATCAAGTCAATTCAGAAGTCATTAAAATTATGACTCGACTCTGACTCGAGTTCAAGTCATGTGATTCGAGTCCACACCTGCGGTTTTAACACATAGTTGCTTAATTATTCATCTTTAAAAAAAATATTTTTTAGGACACCTGCTATTACTTCATGAAGGATCTGACTTGGACTAACCTTTAGCTCATCAATCTGATTGTTAGCTAACTTCAACAGGTCTTACCTGTCCGTTTAAGAGGTCTGCAAACAGAAAAATGAGGCATAATATTAAGTCCGCTGGTTTCCTGAGCTGCTTGCTCTACAAATCCTTCAGGTAATTCAGAGAAATGCAGATTTGTTTCCTGGCACTTGATCACCAAGCCCGATGATTTTATCTCTGTCATAACGTCCTTGTTTTGTCTTTTGCTCCTCCCTCCTTCCCTCCTCTGAAAAACAAGACAAAAGATTCTCCTCAAACTCATGTTCTGACACAAGCTGCTGCACACCTAAACAAGCACGGGGCTGCACATGGAAGACTAATGCAGCCAGGTCTTATGAGACCGAACGCTCATTTGTAAATAACCGAGACGGGGTAGCCAGAATGGACGGAGGGCTGGAGCACCATTTTTTTTCTGCACCCCCTCCTCCTCCACACACACACACACACACACCTTCAGCACAAGGAGCACTTTTGACAACCAACAAATCAACCGCCAGGAGTAATTTGTCACAGAGGAGTGTAGGGAGACGAAGTGGAGTCTGAGAGAGCAAGTTTGGAGAGTGAAAGAGGAGCAAAAAAAAAAGTGTGAGATGAGAAGGGAGGGGGTTGGGGGGGAGACAGAAAAAAGTGACAAGGAAAGAGGTTAACACACATGGCCCCTGTCGCCACACTCCTTCCTGCTGCTACAGGCAGCTCCTCCATCAAGTGACAGGACATTTTCCACCGCAGCATTATATCCAGCGAGGTCACGGCCGAGCCAAACCACCACAGATACCACCAGCAGGGCCCTCCCATCCATGACTGGATCACTTCAAACCAACAAAAAACTCTTTTTTTCCACACTGTCAACCAGTCTTTGAATCTATCTGTCAGCCACTCTGACAATTTATCTTGTGCACATACACAAAAATAATCAGAATCAATATTTTTCTGCCTTATAGGCTCAGCACACGCCAGCAGTCCGCTGAGAGGTGTCTGAATCTCAATCTCTGTCCAGAGCAAACCTTTGTGCTATTATCCAGCGTTACTGACTTTACAGGCAATTACGGGCCACCAAACAGCACCAACACTAAAATTCCTGTCTTCACGCCTCCTCCTGCAGAGCGTCAGCACTTCCAGATGCTCCTCAGGTATCTCAGCCCTCCTCCTCTGATGGCTATCCAAGCCAGGCAGGAGGCTGACCTCCACTAAAACTATTAAAGACTGTCGACTTTGACAGACGTGAGTGAAGAGGTGTCAACGTGCTCACAAAGAAGCACCTTTTCACGGCTCAAACTATCCCTGCAAATGAAAACACGAATGCCTTGTTTGGAGGATGATAATAGGTGTTATACGGCTGCTGGCGGTGGCCTCTAGGCTCTACTAGCTCACACCTATTAGCCAGAACCGGGCCGGGCCTTGTCTCATCACTCCACAGGCTCGGCGGGGCGCGGCGTTTCACGGCCTTTTACCAGCTTCATCATAATCAGTCTTTATTTGACACTCCATGCAGCTTTCTCAGGTTTTGTTGTTCTACTTTTTTCCATCCACATTCAGTTACTCAGGCTCTACGAGGCTTTAACCCTTTGATGCATAATGGTCACTACAGTGGACAGGTACTCAAAATTGTTATTTATTTGTTTTTGCTATTAAGCACAGCTGTTGAAGACTTTATTGCATTTGAGCTCCTCCATTTGGACTTCAATAAGCCAAGCCAACATATTTCATGCTCAGCATGCACGCTGTCCACCAAGGTGGACATGTAATACATTATTTGTAAATTATAAAATTTAACAAAAAAAAAATATTTGTTGAAATTTGTTTCATTCACACCTAAAGATGAATGGAAAAAATTGTTAAAAAATCATGGTTGAAGATTTCATAATTCATGCATCAAAGGGTTAAAAAAGGACTTTAATCCGAGCAGATCAGGGAAAACCTGCAAATGGATGCAGAGATGTTGATTCGTCATGAAATGTGGCATCACAGCTACCTTTTCAACATAGATGCCTCTCATGTTTTCACCTTGATGTCTGATTTGACACCTTTTACTAATAGAAATGGCTCCAACATTCTCATTTTAATTACAGAAAATGCACCGATCTTTGCAAACAGGGGTTTTTAGCAGTTGTAATGAATATGAAGAGTATAAAAATGTAAAAGAGGAGGAGATGTGACATCATTTTACAGCTGCTATGCATTTCAGGCATCCCCCAACTCCCTGCAGACTGCTGCTAAATATAAGTACATGACAGTGAATGCACTGCACATATGTATCCTAGCTGATACACAAGGTATGCACACCTGGTGTTCTTACACACTTTTCTGGGCCAAAGATATGCATGAACACATCAGAAGAAGGAGAAGGAGCAAAATAAATCTAATTTATGGTTTGTTGTTCACATGTTGGTACCGCTGGGACTTTTGTGGGTATTCTGTACTTTTGGTTAAAGAAATGCATCCATAATCTGTTATCTTTAACCTAATCATGTTGTTTTTAAAACTGTGGAAGATGAAGAGAAGAATGAAAAAATATGTTCTGATCATTGCTAAACAACTGCTTTAAAGAAAGAGGTTTTTAGTTGTTTTTTTTTTTTTTGCAGAACTAGGTCAGATTATTTTCTGTGAAGGGCTGAATCTGAATTTAAACACTCACCTAGGCAGGTACTTAATCATTTTCTTTAAACTTTAAAATTAACTGGAAAAGTAATGCCTGCACATCTGGTTCTGTCCACCATGCACTGAGTGACGTTCCTATCAAATCAGCTCAATCTTTGTCTTTATTATATCTAAACAGGGTTTCTCTCACCTTTGTGCTGTAACGAGAGCACACACTCATTTTTAAAGGTGTCGAATCTCGTGAAACTGAACTTGTTCATTCTGGAAGTTCCCGTTTGGCTAGGATCTTTTAAATTGTGAACTTTCAACATGAGAGGTGAACTTTAAGCTAGTTTCGTTCCCAGCTCTGCTGCATATGAGTCTAATGAACACCCAAACCTCTAAGTAATCAAATCTAACCCACAGCATTCAGCCCAAACTCCCTCCTAACAGAAAATAACACACACATTTAAATAACTATTATTATGAAACTTGTACGGGTAAGCATGTCAAATACTTATTTTAATCTTAGTTGATGATTACATGTAAGTCAGCTAGCTGCTCCGAAGCGTTCAGGTGTGTGTTGACATAATGTCAAAGAGTCGTCCCTCAGTCTGGGACCGTTAGAAGGTCATTTCTAAACAGCATCATTCTACAATGAGAACGGTCTTTCACAAGAGCAGAACGTTCAAGGTGGTTGTCCATCTCCATGCTAGTGGGCGTTGCAGCCAACTCACCTGAAGGTCAGATCAGGTGATGCTCAGAGAAACAGAAAAAACAACTCAGAAAACCTCCATAAACTGCTGCAACTAAAAGAAACAGCCGCAGTTCCTCCGTGAGAACGAGAGCGTTTGTATGAAAGCGAGAAATTATCTACTTATGTGTGTTTGAATTGACAGCATCACCCAGCAAACCTCGCTATCACTGCTGTGAGAGTTAACATCAGCATAGATTAAGGATGAAACAGCTGATGGAAACGCCTTTTAGACTTTGAACACTGCCATTTTTGTTAGTAGGCACAGAAAATCCATACGCATGAGAATGTCCAGCAGCTCTGACTAGCGGCCCAGCCAGCGTTAGTGTAGGCAAGTGCAGCAACCCAGATGCCAGTCGGGTCTCCTGGGAAACAAAAGGAAGGGACCGGATTTCAGTGACACACACACACACACTTCTGTTTGGCTACAAGAGGTCATCAGTGCATCGCATGTAGAGCTCGAACTGCTCCACCTGAAGTTCCCCAGTGAAAAAAAGAGATCGTGGCCTAATTACGAATGATCTAACCCTCACCTGTCTCATGAGAGGGAAGTCTACTGAAAGCTCCGGCGCCGTCTTTCTGTCTGCGTGCTCTATCTTCCCACCCCTATCTTCTTGTAATGCAGAGAAGCAGACAGAGGCAGTCCGAACACCCACGGCTCAGTTAGACTCCTTTGATCAGTATTTCCGTCTGCTATTACTAGAGATCCAGAGCCCCGGGCGTTAATCCGCTGTTTAACAGAGTTAACGCCACACATTTTCCAGCAGCATACGGCGAATCTCACCGAGGTTAGACTACAAACAAAGCTAAGGAAATACTTTAACAAAAAAAAAAATCCAGTTTTCTTCCCTGTATGAGAACAAACTCGTCAGACTTGGTGTTAGACTGTTGAGGTTAACAAACTTTAGTTGTTGGTTCATTTAAAAGGACAAAAAATGAAATAAAAGTTTGTACATTGAAATCAGACACCAGCTGATGTAAATAAAAAATAAACTGTGACTTATTTTGTCCATGAGACCCATGAGAGTCTGCGGGGGATCAAAGAGGATGACAGGCCGTGAAATTTTAATTTTAGAAGAAAAAAACACAGCGGGTGATGAATTCCTTAATAAAAGTACAATAAAAAAATAACATATTCAAAAATCTTACAGTGATTCCGGGCTGAGATTAAGACGTAACCATAGCTGTAGCCCTTCTGAAGCCCCTATGATGGGTTGTAGCTTCACGTCAACATTAGCAGGTCAGCTACAAGGCTTCCGGTGACGCCTCATGTCTCCAGTTAGACAGATGGGATCAAAAAGACGAATCCCAGTCGCTCTGTCTGACGGATACATCGTTTCCGTGTGGAAGTTTTAGGGTTAACCCTAACCCTAAGGCAGACGGCGCTATTCTTTAGCCTGACAACAGTTCTTGTTTCACTTTAAATGAAGTTTATTTAATATGTAAATTTATGTGTAAACCAAAAGTGTTTTGGAGATTTTTATGCTTCACTGTGAAAATGTTGGAGAGGTTTTGGTTGGAGAGAAGCGGCGTCTTTTTCTGTTGTTCTGAGTTTGAAGCAAACTTAATAAACATCGCCCATAACCAAGAAAGCAGACGTTGACCTTTGGATGTGAAGTTTGAGAGCTTAATGAATTCCTTTGAGCAAGAAAATAAAATCATTAATCTGCTTTTAAGTCAGTTCCTTTAATCTTTATTAGGGCCAGTGTCTATATTTACACACTTCCACTCACATCATAAATTATGTCAGTGCGCCTTTTCATGGACTCTCAGAAGTACGGGGTTTCACCCAAACAATCATCAGAGATCACGCCATGGAGCCATATAACCAATCAGCATGTAGCTACGATGCGCCCAATATTGGTATGTCTGAAAAACCAAAAAAACGGACTTCCTGCAGCTCGGTCTCCTCTCGTATTTACAGTCAGATCTCTAAAATGAACAATGCTAGGTTTAAGAAACTCTCACAGCACAACCCTGACTAGTTGTGCTAAATAAGGATATCTGTGTTGTAAATGTTAAATTCAATGAAGGTGGTAAAATCATAGCATGAAAATCAAAGCTGCCATATTTGATCATATGCCCATAACAAATAAATTATGTGTGTTTTAAGGTCAAATCTTCCATTTTTTAGACATAATCTTCATATTCATGGTAAAACAATAATAACAATTCTAATACTAAATATTTTGCAGCTTTAAACTAAGATTTCTATGTAAATTGTTGGACAGTTGTGCCAGCCAGTCTCACCATCAGTGATGATGATGAAGAGGAGGAAGATGACACTGAGGCAAATCCTCAAATATATAACATTCTAAAATATTCTAATTATCTATATTTGATCAGAAATGGTACATTTAGTTTAATAAATGTCAAAAATATTCAGCAATAATATTTTTTAAATAAAAATACTCTAATATTTGTGAAATACTCCGTATTATTCTACTTTCGATACTATTATAAAATCAGCTACACTATTCTAAATTGTCTTATAATGATTTTTACTATTGAAAAACATTTTTTATTCAACTTATTCATGTTTCATTTTGGGATTTCTTTTACCAGAACAGGACTAGCGTCCATATTTGATCACTTTCCTCTCATTTTCTGACTGAAAATAAATACTTTTGAAAATGAAAACAACAGAGGACTCTACTTTTGTTATATAGCAGAATAACTGGTTTCTTCTAACACTTAAAAGAAAAAATGTATCAAACTCAATCTAATCCTTGGCGTAGGTGTGTGAGAGCAGTTCGCTCCTTTGGGACTTCACCCAAACTAATGTCTAGATGGATTTTGTCGGCGCAGCGTGCAGCATGTCAGCCCTGGCTTTGAGTAAAACATAAAGGAGATGATTACTGCGCTGTACGTGTAGGTGGCGGTGTGAGCGAGCGTCAGGTGGTGCAGGAGCTGGCTTAAAAACCGGGCCACAATTATCACATGTGGTGATTTCTATTGTCAGCAGCAGCTCTGCGGCTCTCCAAAATGCTAAAACTAATTAGTTTAGACAACATTTACAAGGACATCTCATTACAGAAAAATACCATGCAGGAGCTTTTAAGAGCAGAATCAAACAACGTGTCAGACCTGAGAACAATTAGACAGAAGCAGTGAGACTAAACTGATGTAGCTTCATTTCAGCAACCGAGCGCTCCCTACATGCTCGGCCTTTATATTTTAATGTTTTGTCTGGAAAACTTTGGATTGATATAATATCTTTATTAATGTTAAGCAAATGTCAAAACTAAAAGTCCAGGATAAGCAGGCTCCGATTGGATGCTGGCGTTCATCAAAAGCTACAGAAACAATCTGGCTGCTTTTTCTGCAGAGCAACAGGGCTCAGCATGCATGCTGAAGAAACTAGTTTGTCTGTGACTCTATTTAGGTCATCTTTCAGCATTGGCTATCAATTTCTACTGTCCTACTTAAAAGAGACGCCCGTCTCCTTGCAAACACACACTAACGTGAACGTGCACATCGCCACAGTCGGATTGCATACCAGGTCCCCAACCTGGACTCGTACAACATCGTCAATTTTGTTTGTGCTTTCATCACAGAGGTGCGTTCAAACCCAAACAGGATTTAAAAGATGATATTCATTAAGATAAGTGGGAACACACGTGTGACCGTGGTGTGGTCAGCGCTAATAGACAGCTCAAACGCAGCACAGCGTGAACTCATGACATAAATGTAGCTCTCCCCACCTCTTCAGTAAAAGTTCAAATGCTCTCTATCTGCAGAAAGACCCTCATTAGTGCCAAACAATACACCCATAAGTGTGAACTTCTCTTCCCCATACAATCAAAAGGCTGCTTGAGCAACAACTGAATAGAAGCAATTATCTATGGAGAAGGTGATTAACTACCCCTTTACCCTAAAGCCCCCGAACAGCAGGCGGCGAGCAGCGTGTCACAGAAATATCACATAAACCTACGATAAAATGGAAGAAATAAATACGGGGAATATGGTTCTGATTCTTGAGAAAACATTATTGTCATTATAAAAATATAAAAGACCTGAAAACAATTAAAAAAAAAGTGTATTCATTCAGTGAGGTAACATGACCTGGTATGAGATTCTGACAGTCAGTAAAAATACCACAAACCCAAACACTTAAAAAAACATTTTTCTTTAAATAAAACAAATTGTATAAATTACTCCTTTTTCAAAAGTAAAAATATTAACAATACAACTTAAAGTGGGAAACACTTGTTATTTCTATACATACGCTGTAGTCTCTAGTAGAAATTAATGTCCTGTGAGCCCTTCTCTGTTTAAATAAGCGCTGGAGCTCCTGTTATGTTAGTCAGAGGAGCGGAGAGCGGAAAACAGCAGCATTTGGTGTCCTGCTCATTATTATTTCGTGATAGTCAGACATCTCACCTCTGATTGGCTAACGGCAACGTGACTCTACCACTGACTCCGTTTGCTCTGTAGTACCGATGTTTAATCTCCACAAATAGCATAAGCCTGAAGGAGTTATGCTGTGTTGTGGAGCAGCTTATGCTAACGGTTAGCTATGACCAGCCAAGACGTCCTCTGTTGTTTCCTGGACGCTAAACCAACAACGGTCCTCCCTGTCGAGAGCCAAGAAGACGAGTGAGTCCATGAATGCTAATTTACAGTGTGACACACATCTGTGTGGATTTTCCTGACCCGAGTGTTTCCCCATCAGTTTTCTATCTGCAACTAATGCCAGAAATAGGGGAAGAAGATCAAATAAAAAACAGAAAAAAGACATTTCAGTGAACTTACACTTTAATGTAATTTTCCATGCATTTTTTTCTGTACACATGCAAAATACAAACACACTTAGCATCTGAGAATTTTCAATGATGTGTTTATTTTTTTTAAGTCACAAATATTCAGTTTAAGTAAGATTGTGGGTGAAAAAAACACACCAACATTGATGTTTGGCTCAGCGGCGCCACTAGTGTTAGGATTTGAAATTGCATCCTCCTATAATCTGATCATTCCACAAAGGAAGGGTGAATGACAGAAGGGGCACTTCAAGGGCCAATGCCCCTGTAGTCCCATCCCTAGTACTGCCAATGTTAGAAAAAACTAGTTTTCCATGATTCTGTGCCAGTCAGATTAAATAATCTGTCTCTAGCTTTTCAATAAATGGCTATTCCATTCCTATTCCAACTGTTTTAGTTAAATCGTGCCTTTCTTCTCTGCTCCCTTTTATAACAGCCATTATTCATTCCTCACTATCCTCTGGTACGGTCCCATCCCTATTCAAATCCGCTTCAGTCAGCCCAATTCTAAAAAAACCTGGTTTAGATCCCAATGATTTCAATAACCTCCGTCCCATTTCCCATCTTCCCTTCATTTCCAAAGTCCTAGAGAAAACTGTTGCATCTCAGCTCCATTCACATCTCACCCGCAATAACCTTTATGAACAGTTTCAGTCTGGCTTCCGTCCCCACCACAGCACAGAAACAGCTCTCATCAAGATCACTAACGACCTACTCATTGCTGCTGATTCTGGTTTAATCTCTATTCTTATTCTCCTCGATCTGAGTGCGGCCTTTGACACCATTTCTCATCCCATCCTCCTCAATAGACTCTCTTCCTTAGGCATCACTCACACCCCCCTCAGCTGGTTTCAATCTTACCTTACTGGCCGCACTCAGTTCATCCAGTTAAAATCCTTTACCTCAGAACCCTCCCCAGTCAAGTCAGGTGTGCCCCAGGGCTCTGTCCTGGGGCCCCTCCTCTTCATAGTATATCTCCTCCCTATCGGCAAAATCTTCCGCAAATTCAATATCCAGTTTCACTGCTTTGCAGATGACACCCAGCTCTACATTTCCAGTAAGCCCAACTCAACTCTCCCACCATGCTCCCTTACACTCTGCCTCTCTGAAATCAAATCATGGTTCACCTCTAATTTCCTCAAACTCAACGGCAATAAAACTGAACTTCTTGTTGGCACTAACTCCACCCTCTCAACATCTGACAGCTTTTCTTTAACTATTGACAGCACCACAGTCTCCCCCTCACCTCACGTCAAGAGTCTGGGTGTCATTCTCGGCAGCTCACTTTCTTTTCAGGCTCACATTAATAACTTAATTCGGTCAGCATACTTCCATCTACGTTCCATAAACCGTCTTCGTCCCTCACTGACCCCTCACACTGCCGCCATTCTCGTCCACAGCCTCGTCACCTCCCGTATCGACTATTGCAATTCACTTCTTTATGGTCTTCCCAACAAACTCCTTCATAAACTGCAACTGGTCCAGAATTCAGCAGCCCGTATTATCACCAGAACCCCTTCCTTTCACCACATCACGCCGGTTCTCCAGCAGCTTCACTGGCTCCCAGTTAAATTCAGGTCCATCTTCAAAATTCTCCTCCATACCTTCAAAGCAATCCACAACCTCTCTCCTCCATATATCTCAGACATTATAAGTATTCACACCCCGTCCCGTTCACTCAGATCTTCTTCTTCCATCCATCTTGCGGTTCCTTCTACCCGTCTCGCTACCATGGGGAGCAGAGCTTTCAGCCGCTCTGCTCCTCGACTCTGGAACTCACTTCCCCCAGACATCAGGAACGTCGACAGTTTTACCCTTTTCAAAACAAAACTCAAAACACACATGTTTAAATCTGCCTACAACCTCTGATTTTATTGAAATGTTTCTCTCTGTTTTTTCTTCTTTGGGTTTTATTATTGTTTTATTGTATTTTATTACGTGTTTTGTGTAAAGTGACCTTGGGTGTCCTGAAAGGCGCTTTGAAATAAAATGTATTATTATTATTATTATTATTAGTTTGGTTTAAAGGAAAAATTATAAAACAAGGAAAATGTTGACCTCTGCTGTCAAAATGCTGGCCATATTTTGAACTGTTAAACTTTATCTTTTCATATTTTTTTGCTTGACTGCTTGTCATTATGAAAACAGAAATCACATGTAAATAAGCAGCAAAAACAGGCCTATTTAACATGACAGTAAATAAAAGACTGAGCGTAAATTATGCATCTAAACACCGGAGCCAACAGTAATGTTTTGCGATGCTAAATGGAAAGTGTGCATACGTGTAGCTATAATGGTGGCATAAAGTACCCTAAAATTTCTCCAATATGCACCACTTGGTCCACAACATTTCTGTCAAATCATACATTCCTGGCCCATTTGGCAGCACCACTGTGACTGGCACAGTTTAAAATTTACTAAATGAGTTCCAGCGCTGGCTGTGAGAGGTTAATGAATAATCACAGCACACTCAAATTCACATATCACTTCACCGAGCCATTTCGCACATGCACTACTGGCTCTTTATGGACAAAATGCACTCTGAATGCACCCTCATTGTCCTTGCACACATGTCCTAGCACTCTGCAATGATGATTGTGCTGTGGAAGTGGAGCTCATGTGTCTGAAAAGCATGTTCATGCATTCCATGTAGCCCAAAAATGTCAAAACATTCTTCTTGCAGACTGGAGAACACATGCTGTTAATGCAGAGCCAAACAAATGTAGTAACTATTTTTGCTTCTGCAATTAGGTCATGAGATGCTGGGGTCTGCTACCCAAAAGTCCATTTGGGAAATGGAAAAAAAATTAGCATCTCTATTGCTAACAAGCCTTTTTATACTTTCTCCTACCAAATACACACTATTAGTTTTTTAATGATTTCAAAAGGAATACAAAACAATTAGTTAAATGGGGTTCTGATTAAGGCTGGACGATATAGAAAAAAGAAAGCATTTCATAAAAAAATATAATTCATATTGATCAAGATCAGTATTTATGCGTGATTATAAATAAATGTAGAAATTATATTTAAAGTGTTTTTATGTCATTGCTTTATGATAAAACAAGCTGGTTGTGTCACCAGACTTGGTTTTAATCCACTCAGCTAATTTTTGCAAACAGCTGTTGATTGTTTTTTGTCAGACTTGTGAAAATCGAAATGTTGCCTTTATGGTAACCTTTTTTCAGAAGTACTTCCCGCGCCTCCCCTTGCTTCGCCATCTTGTTTAAGTCACATGATGTCTGACTAGTTTGGGAGGGGTGGGCTTAGTGACGAAGAGTGCCTGGGTCTGTGTTTCTGATTGGTTGGGAATGAGTTAGTTACCCGAAAGGCTATAATGAAAAAAAGAATGGAAACCTTTTATTGAAGTTTTAATTTAACCAATTTTCTTCCTATGGCACCACACATCTAGAAATAGATATACCCTGCATTGCCAAAATAACAAAATAAGTCACACACTCTAATATTTTGTTGGGCCACCGTAAGCTTTAATTACAGCCGCCACTCCCAGTGGCGTTGTTTCGAAAAGCTTCTGCAATGTCACCAGATTAATCTCCATCCAGTGTTGCATTAATGTTTCACCAAGATCTTGCACTGATGATGGTAGAGTCTGACCGCTGCACAAAGCCTTCTCCAGCACATCCCAAAGATTCTCAGTGGGGTTAAGGTCTGGACTCGGTGGTGGTCAATCCATGTGTGAAATGATGTCTCATGCTCCCTGAACCACTCTTTCACTATTAGAGGCTGATAAATCCTGGCATCGTCATCTTGGGATATGCCCGTGTCATCAGGGAAGATGGAATAACCTGGTCATTCAGTATACTCTGATAATCAGCTGACCTCATTCTTGGAGCACATCCTGTTGCTGAACCTAGACCTGACCAACTGCAGCAACCCCAGATCATAATACTTCCCCCACATGCTTGTACAGTAGACACTTGGCATGATGGGTGCATCACTTCATCTGCCTCTCTTCTTACCCTGATGCACTATCACTTTGAAACAGGGTCCATCTAGACTCATCAGACCAGTTTTTAACAATTTGTTGGACAGTTCTTAACCCAGACTTAGTTGTTGCTGCATCTCCTTAGATCTTTTCTCTGCTTGATGCATGCCAATAATCTGACTCTTCTCAGACTAACATCTTTTCCACAACCACCAGATGTGTCTTTGCACATGGTTGAAGAAATGAGAAGCAACTCATTGCACCAGTTGGGGTTAAATAACTTGTTGCAGCTGAAAGATTATTGACCATGCAGTAATTAACCAATAGGAGCTCATACCGGTTCGCTTAGTTAAATCCGGGTGGAGACGTTTTTTTTAGCCAGGCTGTGTGTTTTTCTTGTCCAGCTCTAGTTCAGATAGTGATGGCAAACCTTTCATAAGCTTTAATGTGAATGGGAGAGAGAATACACATAAATATAACATGTATGCATTTGTACTTATATGTGCATATTTATATGAATCACAATATCAATAAATATTGGTTATCAGCCATAATGGCAGTATTAATATCGCATATCAATATTGACCCAAATTGTAATATTGGAGCGTTCCTAGTGAAATAGTTACATAGAATTAACATTTTAACTGTCACAGATAGCTGTTTGAACATCCTCAGTTTGGAGAAACAAAGATAAGTTCTGAATGATTGATGAGCTAATGGCTAGGCACAAATGGGCCAATTAGAACACTTATCTATATCATAAAACATAGTGGCTGCTGTGAAAAACACCATGTCACAGATTAAAATTCAGCATTATATTAATATTAAGATTATTTTCAGGTTGTATTTTTTCCATCATTTGTAAAATGATTGTCCATTATTTGTAGCTTGGTGCATCGTCCTTAAACCATTTTATTTTGGTGTTCATCGATGGTTTCTCTCGTTACTAGCAGTGTGTTTTTTATTTTTCAGAAGATTTGAACTATTTATTATATTTTTCACAACTTAAGCTGCATCCAGTAACAACAAAAGTCCACAGAAATGGTTTAAATCCAGAACAAACCGTAGAGAATTTAGACACAAGGCTGTCAGAGACTTTAGGTTCCGTCACACACTTTGTGGAACAGAATGAAGGATAATTAATCAAGGCTGAAAATTAAGCCAAACGACTTCAGCAAGAAAAGAAAAGCCAGCAGCTCCATAATAACAGCTAACCAACAAACGGAAAGCAGCTGCAGGCTGAACACAAACAAACAAACCAAACATAAAGAGATCTAATTGCAGAAACACAATTGCACATCACTATTTATATAAACCTGCTCTACCTGAGCCCTCATTACTGTACACATGCATGACTGATGTACAAACACATGTTAACGCGATTATCGGAGTGTCCTCTGTCCTCTACAGGGTGGTAATTTAGCTAATATCAACACAGTAGCAGAAATGAACACGTCCACTCCCAGAGACAAGGAGGAAGACAAAAACATAACAGACACAAAAGCTGGACAAACAACAGAGATCCTCGGCTTTAGGCCACATTATCCTTAAATCTCATCACTCTGTTCTCGCCCTGAAGACATACGCAGCTCGTTTCCACATTCCACGCCATTTAAGAAGCAACGGGCGAGGAGGCAACCGACGAACACAGGTTCGGTAAACACTGCTAAGGGTGCAACAGTGAGCTGGTGACAAGATGAGATTATGAGTTGTAAAACTGCAAAAACCAACCTGAGGATAATTGCTCAGGCTGAAACAATTTCTTTAGTGCAAACGGAGGACGGGGTGTAATGAGATACAACGGTTTCAACCGCGAGGGGATTCTTCATTCAAGAATGTCAGACGCTTTTGTGCCAAGCAATAGGTCGAGCTTAATAGATGTCTCAATTTCTATCACATACAGTAACGACCGACGCCTGGAGAAGACGGAGGGGGGTGGGGGCGAGAGCCTTTCCAAAAGCCTCCGAGGTGGCGTGATGAAATTCTTTTGAGCTGCAAAAGCAACGAGGGACTTGAAATGAATGGAACAGATATGCACCTTTTGTATTTTGTGACCTATTGATATAGATATCAATTTCATTACACGCAATTAGCATTTCTCATTCCCCATGAAAGTGGGAAATCTAAGAGGGGGATAATAAGAAGCAGGCGGATGCAGACAGGTGGAAAAAAAAAGAAAAAAGTTTGGACTCTGAAAAT